GGAGGTAGGGATTACATGGATGTATACAGTAAATTCAAGATCTGTGCATTTTCATGTAGGTAAATTACACCTCAATTTAAAAAGGATACCAGGGGTCTCAGATTCCTTACCCTGTTGCTTACAGTGAAAGACCCCTACTTCATCGGTCTAAGAGAAAACATCAGATAAGTGTGTTTTATACCTACCCCATCGCTCCCATATTTATGCGTAGAGAATTAAGAATTGTTCTTAGATACGTTAGCTTTAAAAATACTTATGATAATATGTGCTTTAGAACTTTTTTTTAGAGAATCTGTGTGAGTAAATTAATTTTAGTCCAATTCGAATTAGAATACATTAGTATAACCACCACCTTAATTTTTTAAAAATATGCAAATAAATCTCATAACCAAATTATAAAATAATCCCATTCAATTCTTGGAATAATTTAAATTAATTACTTTCCAGGAAATGTACATTAAAACACATAAAGCAGTCAATGAGTTAAACCTTAGTGAAATTTCAAACCAAATTCCAATTTACTGAAATGACCTATTCAAAGTTTAGTTTTAAACTACTGACATATATGTAAGTTTCCAGTAATGGATGAGAGCCTATTTTTATTTTGGTTGTGCATAGGAATCATGAGGAGTCAAATTTCTGCAGAGAATAGTTACTTAAAAACCTGAAGGATCCATGATTTTTGCAGGCTTTTAGGATTAACAGAAGGTTACACACGCATGTGGACAATTCAACTTATATGGGGCTGCACCAGAGGCAGCAAAACCAGAGTTATCATGGTCTCGCTGCCATGGTTTCAACCCAAAAGCCAGATGATTTCGATTCAAACTGGCCATGGGCAATAACAATGTTAAGCTGAAAATCCACTTAAGACAGCAATTTCAAAGTTTGAAAACGCTACTAACATAAAATGAAACAGTGCTAAACAAGAGTTGTCCAAGTGTGCGAGAGGCACCTTCCTCCCCCCTTATGCTTAAGTTCAAGGTATGCTTTCGGTTTAACCTAGTTTCTCTTCTTTCATCATTGAACATTCTATTTTGATGTGTAGTGCCCTAGACTTCCTGTTACTACATCTTGATATTCTCCTGCAAAACATGACTCATTCTTAAATCACAGAGAAACGCATCAAAATCCCAAATTTCACACCACACATGAATTCAGTCTTTCAAGAGGGCAGCATTCTTAGGACATTACTTGGAGCCACAGAGACAAAAACACTGAACGAGTCCATGTAGAAATTATGTCAACCTCCTACTGAGTCAACACGTTTATTACATCAATAAATACAAGCTCTATGTGTGGTAATTTTGGTCTCTGTAATAGTTATTAAAATGTGTTCCAGGACATGTTAAGTGAAAATTAGTTAGAAAACAGAAGGCATAGTGCGATTCCAATTAAAAGTGTTATGTGTGTGTATGTGTGTGTGTAAGAATACACACACATGCATTTTTTTAAAAATCAGAAAAATATATGCCAAAATGTTAACAGTGGGATTATAGGAGGTGCCTTTTTCTTTGTGATTTTATGAATTTTCTTAAGGTAATTCACACTAATATTTTTAGAACATAAAAAAAAAAACTAAAATAATTAAGCTTCAGAAAATTTTGTTATGCCAGTGTGATCTCAAATGTGTTATAAATCAATCTATAAAGGCAAAGAGGAATTATAGGTAACTAGGACATAAAAAACTCTTATCTAAAACATACAGAAAAATCTGATAGGAGTAGGGTCCTTCATTCAAATGACCTGGGCCATTCATGTATACGTGTAGGTGCAGGCCTTGAAGAAGGGGCAGAAGCCAGCTGCCTGCAGCCAGGGCACAGCCAGAACAAACAGAGAACCAATTTCTTTTAAAGTTTAATGAGGAATCCCAGGTCTGGGAAACATGGAGATGGTTGGATCATTCCCTTGGACTGCAAAGGAGCAAAGCCATTAATTTAGTAAGCAGTAATTCACCATCGGTGAAAAAGGACTCTACTCCAGGAAGTCACATCCTTAAATAAGTTTTTTTAAGTGTTTTGGGTTTGTCAATAGGTAATGCTTTGCAACTATATCGGTTTTTGAAGCAGAGAGATACATAAATATAATTGGGTAGCACAGAACACAAAATCCAATAACTGACAGCTAAGAAAGGAATATTTTAATTTATATGCACTGCCTGGAAGTCCTTTAAAACCAATTTCAGGAAAAGAGTCAAATTCCAAAAAGTTATTACAAATGTAAATTACAATATATGATCTCAGAGTTACATACACTATATACTAGCAGTTTTGAATTATTAATTTTTTTAAATAAGAAAAAAGGGGAGGTCTTTAGTAAATGTCTAGGATTCTTCAAAATTCAAATGGGGCTGGAAAAAAAAAATCACTGCTCTCCCCTAGTTAAGCTATTGCCATTCTGGTCTAAAAAGCGTTAGCACCAAGTGAGCGAGGTTCAGAGATGGTCTAATTCAGCTCACGAAGGTATGCCATCTCCATTTACATGTCATGCTATTGTATATTACTGACCAAAAAGAGAGGAAGGGAAAGAAAATTCATGCATACTGTGTTATACATGTAGCGAAAAGTACAACTGATAACTTTTAAATGTCCTACTCATTGAATGAATACATATAAAAGCGTCATCATCAGCACTGATGTAAACAAGAGTTGCCCAGTGTGGGCACTACTGACGTTTGGGGCTTGAAATTTCTTTGTGGGGGACTGTCCTGTGCATTGTTGGATATGTAGCAGCATCCCTGATCTCTACCCACTAGATGCCAATAGCATCCCCTCTGGTTATGACAACCAAAATGTCTCCAGATATTGTCAGATGCCCCCAGAGAGGCAAAATTACTCCCAGATGAGAACTATCCAAATAATAACTTATTGGAATAAAGACTTCTAATTACCTCCTTTTTATTCTGAAAGAAATGTAGTCTTGAGAGCAGCACATTTACAACCCCCACCCTTAAGGAATGCTCATTCAGAATGATGTGTATTTGCAAAGCTTTCTTTCTCGTCTGTTTAAGTTCTGTTATCCTACTCAGAGCTTTCAATGCAACAATTTACTGAGCATCTACTCTGTGCCAGGCACAGTGTTAGGGACATCCTGTACTCACGTCCACTGACTCACACCCTGGTCCCGCTGATTGGGCTATTTCTAAGTCATGTTTTGCCACCATAAAAGAAATGCCAACACTTCAGAAACCCCCAAGAGAGCAGAATGCCCTTGTCAATAAAAGAGCCCTACAGTTCCAATTGGGTTCCTTCAAATTCTTTACCCTTTTAAGTAACTCTATATATTTCCATCATTTCAAGATTTTAAAAAGAAAAAAAAAAAAAAAAAGGCCAGAAGGCCCTCTCTGTATCTGGCATAGAAAGACCATCAGCGGTTTTCGCAGGCAGGATCATTACCGGAAACTCTAAAAACACTATAGACAGTTTTCTTAACTGTCTAACCCACATGCCCTCCTAACACAATTTGTAATTTTATAATCCCCATAAATTGAAACTCATAACTGACCTTTCCCAAATAAATGTGTGTCACAGAGAGACAGAAACGGGGAGAGAGATCAGAGGGTATTTTGTTTGGCAGGAAGGCAACGAGGCTCAGAAATCGATTTGAGCTCATTAATAGATGCCTGGAACATGCTTGGTGTTTCATCTCCTTCGCCCGCCCCCACCAAAAAAAAAAAAA